AAAGTAAATTTTTAATTTTGGTCTCCTCTCCTGAGAATTAGAGTATTTTGTTAGGAAGCATTTATGTAGGTTATTTACATAAAGTATTGTGAAGATTGATCCCCATGATCCAGTTTTTAAAAGTATGTATGTTTGTGGGGCCAGCAGGTAGTGTTGTGGTTAAGGCACTGGACTTCCATGTGGCCCACTGCTCTTTGAGTCCCGGACTCTACAGCTTGAAAATCATGCCGGCTGTGTGTCCCTGCGTGCCCTAAAATCCCACGAGAATAGAGGAGAAGGGATTGTGATGTAGCCATCCTCTCTGGGGGTGATTTCTCATTTTCCCTCTCTCTGCCTCTCTCTGGTGAGTGCATGTACCCTATGGCAAAAACATAAAAAAAAAAAAACAACAAAAAACAGAAGTATATGTATGTTTAGAACTTCAGAGTTCATAGAACCGCTCAGATGCATTAATTACTTGATTAGAACTTTATGAAGTAGATTTGATAGGGTTATGATTATTCTCATTTATTGGCTGTGAAAATAGAGGCTTGGTTGTTTATTTGAGGATAAATTACTATAACCTTATATCTATAAGGTTGTCATTTATTGTGCTTTCAAATATTCTTAATCATTTTCTTAGGTATTTGCCTGTTCTTAGGGCTAAACATGAATTTAGAAAAGCAGTTTCTATGTTTTTAAATAAATTCTTAATTTTGTATTTTCTTTTTCGGTTTGTTTGAGAGATTTTTTGCTATGGAGTGCACGTGTACTCACCAGAGAGACACAAAGCAAGGAATCATCCCCTGAGGGGATGGCCACACTATAATTCCCCTCTCCATTCTTCTCTCGGGATTTTGGGCAGGCACACACAGTCCTGGCATGAGTTTTAAGCCACCAGGTCTGAGACTGGAACCGCTGTCACTACATGGGAGTCCAGCAATGTAATCATTATGCCATGTGCTGGTCCCAATTTTGTATTTTCTAAAATGTCATGGAAACCTCATTAAAATTTAAAAAACATTGTTTTCTTTATTCATGGTAGAACCTGTACATACGAGTGGAGAGAGATGAGTACCCGCCACAGGACTGATTACATGGCAGTCCCCTCCCTCCATTCCTCCAGCCTGTCATTCCCCAGACACTTGACAGAGGCTGGGATGTTTCAGGCTGACCCGGCCAGGGATTTGAACTGCGGACACCTGTGAGATCCTCACCTGTGAGGTTCTTGGGAGTAGCATATTTCTACTGTGCCATGGAGTCAACCTGAATCCTCATTTTAAAAGGCTTACCAAGAGATTGTTAATACTGCCTTTTTGACCTCCACCTGTACATTTCATGCCAATTGGGCAATTTTACCTTAATTGGTTTGCTAAGGGAATACTTTGGACTTTGATAAAAAGGCCAATGTTTGGTCATTTTCTTTTTTAGTTTTTAAAACTGCCGTGTTGCATAATTACTCAGTAGTACATACATAAATGTAATTTTTGTGGTTGTTAGTGATGGGAAAAAAATAAGGAAATTTGGTTGTCAAATTGTCTATGACCAAATACAAATTTGGTCATAGAGTGCGGACACTCAGTATATATTAAGTGGGGATTGAAACTGATTGACTAAAGGATATAGAAACACAGTATGTGGATGTATTTACCAGATACAGTATGTGTGAAAAAGTAGGGTCTGAGGAAGGACATTTAGAAGAAAAATAGGGAGGCAAAGCATTAATGGGACAAAGAAATGTGGTATTATCTGTTGAAGATATTTTATAGTTTTATCAACTGGAGAAATGTTCACCTCTTGAAATATTCACTTTGTAAGCTGAATAATGTGATTGAATATATAAAAGAAAATGAAATTAAAAAAAGAAAAAAAATGTTGAGGGAAAGAAGTCAAAATCAAAAGAATATATCCTATATTGTTTCATTTATATCACATTCAAAAATAGATAAAACTAATCTTTGGATTATAAACAAGTATAGTTGTTATCTTTGAAGAGTTCAGAAAGCTAAAGGGTGGCTTCTGTGTTTGGTCCTGTTCTATTTGTTTGTTTGTTCCTTTCTTCCCTAAATAATTATTTAGTTTTATTTATCATTATTATTTTAAAATTTGCTACAAGGTACACAGGCTTACCACAGAGAGAGAGAGAGAGAAAGTGAGAAAGCAAGTTGCCAGGTTCAATACTGGAACTGTGGTAGGCCATGTGAGAGTTCAGCGTCTTTACCACCATGCCACCTGCTGGCCCCCATGTTTGGTTTCTTGAATTGGTTTGTAATGTTCAATTTGTAATAATTCACTAAGTTTGCATTTGGGATCTGTACACTTTTCTGTATATGTTTACCACTTAAAATTTAAAATAAAATACTTCAGGGCCAGATGGTGGTACAGTGGAAAAATGCACAACACTCTTCAAGGCAGTTCTAGTCTGGAGACCTTCCCTGAGTATGCCAGGCATGTGTGAGTCCATAGTCTGGGGTTGGTTGAAGACTGGGGTAGACTAAAGTGTAGGGACCCTATTGCAAGCTCTCTCTCTCTTGCTCATGGAGAAAATAAACCAAAAAAAAAAAATCTAACTTTTCAGGCCAGCTAGTGTCAAGGTGGTTAAGGCAGCTGGATCCCAAATGGCTGACTTAATGGTTCAAGTTTCATAGCTAGAGGCTTGAAAAATAGCCGGGGTGCATAAGTGTGTGCCTAAAATGCTGGAAGCAGAAGCAGAGAAGGGATTGCAGTGTGATCGTTCCCCAACGGGGGGGGTGCTTTCTTACTTTCCCTATTCCTTCTGTCTCTCTGCTCTGGCAAGTCCATGTGCCCTCTAGCAAATTTTTAAAAAAAATTAAAATATTCATTATGAAAAAAAGTTATATTATGCTCATGTATCATACCATACATCAATAAAAGTAAATGAATTGTTCCTTATATAACTTCATAGATACATTTCATAAACTTACTATTCAATGAAAAACATATCTCTAAAGAGTATGTTTAATATTATTGTATTTATATGAAAATGTTTAAAATTGAATACAAAGGGTCTTCCAAAACTTTTGTGGAAAAAAAATAACCAGAATTAAATTATGAATTTACTTTGGTGCAAAGAAAAAAAAAAAGAATACAAATTTGGGGTAGGTTTCATAAAGGAGGAAAATAGATAATAAATATTAGTTAATGAATACTTTTTTTTTCTTAAATGAGAGAGAGAGAGAGGACACATACGAGGAGGGAGAGAGGGAGAGGTATTCTTGACGGGTCTCACTGCCATACTCCTGTCCCAGCTTCCCAGTTAGCGAGGATTACAGGCATGCATTACCATCCCTGAATGATTCAAGGTGGTCCCGGATCTGACTCCTGGCCTCCCACTTGCCCCCAGCCTTACACAATATTGTGATACTGCTCTTGTCATCATGGCTAGTCCAATGAATACATTTTTGATTAATGGTTAATTGACTTCGATGAGTTACACGATTAGGAAGAAAAGACAAGCATGAAAACAGACTGATTCTAGAATGCCAGAGAGTGTGTAAATAAATCATAACATAGGATGTGACCCTGGAATGAAGTGTGTATACTTGCTGTCAGTAAAATTCATACTGTTTCAGAGTAAACTCTTTGTAATGGCAGAGGGTGAAAGGTAGGGAATCAAGGGGGAGGAAAAAAGAAGCAAAATGTATAGGAAAAAAGAAATGGAAAATTATTTGTTGATGATAACACATACAGTAATATCCTTGATTGAGCCAGTATACAGTGTATTCTGGATGGAAAATCTCATTTTGTATACTGTTGATGTACAGTGAATGAATGTAAATAAATACATTTAAAATAAAAAAAGAATTCCTAGTAATTCACTAGAAATCAAGTAAATTGATTATACCTTTGATGCTCTTGGAATTTTTATTACTATTTTTCAAAATTTTTATTTTTACGATTTACTTTTCTATCTTTTCTTCACTTATTAAGTGCCATTTGCGAGTTACAGACAGTAACTCTCCTTAGAGATATTCCTTGGGGATTTAGAATTTAAGTTATTTAAATTAGAAATAGCATAATCAAAAAAAAAATAAAAAAGAAATAGCATAATCATACATGTATTGTGATTTCAGTAATAAAAATTACAAAAATTTAATTTTTTTATAATTTAGGGACTGAGCCTTTATTGTATTTTAAACATACACACATACTTGTCAGGCTGTTTAAATAATCAATAACTTATGATTTTCAGTTCTGTTTGAAAGTTACACAAAAGTTTTAGATGCACAGTATATCCAGTAGGAATAAATTACCATTAAGCTTTATTACCCTGATGCTGCAGGTACATTCATTCTCATAATAGTCTGGCAAGATCCCTTTAAAACTACTGTTTTCACATATGAATGATTAAAATATATAAAAAGCATACAGTATAGATAAGTTTACAGATATTTTAAGGTACAGTCATACCTGATAATAAAGTCAATATGACTTAGTAATCATAATCTACTGCATTTGAGATAGTGAAACTGTTTCAGTATAGTGTCTTACTCTGCTTCATTTGGCTTCATAAATAAGCCATATCAAATATTTATTTCAAATTATTTTATAGTATACTGAAGCATCAGTTTTAAACTTCATATTACAAATTTTCACATGTACTCTGAACTGACTGAATTTTAGTATTGAAATTAATAATATTATAACATTTAAAAACTATACAATTATTGGTCCTTTGTATTTTTTCAAGGACCTATTCATCTTTTAAACTAGTTAGCCCACATGATAACTTTTAAATTAAAAGTCTCTTTGTAAGGTTCTTTCCTTTTTTTTTTTTTTTAAGTTAATTTAATTCTTCTATGAGAGGGGAAGAGAGAGTGAGATAGGCGCCACCAAATGGTCTTCATCCTGTGATCCACCCCCAGCTTTAGTGTTCGGGATCATGGGCATGCATGCATGTGCCCGACATGTGTAGGGAGACCTTTGGACACAAACCTGAGCTCTTTCCACATGGGACCAGCATCACAGAGTGTTGTGTTACCACAGTGCCACCAACTAGCCTTTTTTGTAGGTGTTTTTATTTTGAAAAATCATTTAAAAATTAACCCATTTAATTTAGATTGATGCCATCTAAAATTGATTCTCACATCACAAAACATATGACCAAGTGATATTACAGTTTTACAGTTTTTTAAGAAATCCTTTATAAGAGAGGCCAAAAAAAGGGTATAGAGTGAGAAATGGATGGAGGCATAGAGAGGTATTTTTGACAGTGTCCTGCTACTGTGTCATCACCTTTCTGTGCCAGCCTCCCGATTAGTTGGGATTAGAGAGGCCTGCACGATCATGTCTAGCATCTTCAGGTTGGCCTGGTAACTGAATCGGGCCTCCCGTGTGGCTTCCAGCTTCCCAAATGATGACACCATCTATGCACCGCTGTGACTGGGCTGATACCATAAGAATTTTGACTGACAAAGGTAAATGGTGTTTTTTGAGGTGTTGTGATGATGTGTTTACTCTTATATTGATAATGCCTTTTTAATCGATTTATCAAACAATTAAGGATTTAATACTAGATTATTAAACCACAGTATCTTGGGGTGAGTTTAATATTTATTATTCACTTTTAATTTGCTTCAGTTCAGTTAAAACTTTCTGAATCTGTTGGACGGATCAACATTTTGGTTGATTTGATGAAGTATAACCTTCCATTTTGAGACTTCCAGAATATTCCTTTTCTCCTCTCTGGCCTAGATTTTTCTCTTAGTTTGTTGTATTTACCATTTAAATTGTTTTCTCCACATACATCATGCCACCACCAGCCTCCTAAAAAAGATAGATATGTAGTTTGATGCATACAAACTCATATGTAGATACTGTCATTTTCCCATCCCTTGAGTATATTTTCCTTTTTTAAAAAATTTATTTATTTATTTTCATTTCATTTTCTTCCATACATTCGATCACATTATTATTTGTCTTACAAAATGGATATTTCGACAGGTGAACGTTTCTCCCTAGTACTGTTGATAAAACTACGGAATATCTTCAACAGATAATACCACACCTCTTTGTACCATTTTCATTTCTTATAAATATTACAGTGAGGTAGATCTATGTATTCCAATTTTAACTAAGCTGCATAAGACTTTTGTGAACTACCAGAAATAGACTATCTGAGAATTAGAGTTAAAATAATTAGTTGAACTAGAATAAACACTTTTGCTGTGATACTTAAGTAGAGAAAATGCTTATTTGGGATTAAGATTTTAAATAGTTTACATTGTAGATAATGCTAATACTGTGGGAAGCCATTTTAAATATTTGAAAATAAAGTTTGTATTTAAAAAGGTACCTGAATAACTTTCTGGACAGTTGAAGTGTTCTTTTGCTTTGTGATCCCATGTAGAAAATTTCAAATCTTTGTGTTCCGGGAGTACATTGGGGATGTTGCCAGTAATCTTCACCAGGTGTACTGTATAGTTAGTTTCATGATTTCCCAGGTGAAAAGAATATTCAATATAATACATGTTGTCTTTCCAGTCTTCTAATTCAATTCGTAAGATGTAATTAGCTTGCTTTACTATGGAGTATATCTTCTCTAGGCCTAGCCAAAATTCTCCTGAAAAGAAAAGTTTAAAAAAATCTGTGGATTGTTAAGTACAGATTGGGTACTGTTAGTCTTTTTTTATTGGTATAAGTAAATGAGTTGTTTTAGTCTTGAATCCCTTGACCATTTTAGAGACTCTTCTTTTTTTAAACAATTTTATTGAAGATAGTTATATACACAAAAAAAGTTACAAATATTAGTAAGTGTGTTTAGTCTAAATATCCTTTCTAAAATGGGTATTTCAAGACGTATTTCTCATGCGAAACATATAAGACTATTACAGATGTATTTTTTTGAAGAGTTTTTTTTGCTATAGGATGCGTGCGCTTGCACGTATCCTATAGACAGAGAGAGACAGAGAGATAGAAAGCGAGAAATCACCCCCCAGGGGGGATGGCCACGCCGCAATCCCTTCTCCTCCATTGTCCTCTCGGGATCTTGGGCATGCACGCACACGCGCCTGGCGTGATTTTTAAGCCACCTGGTCTGGGACGCGAACCGCGGTCGACTACGTGAGAGTCCAGTGATGTAGCCGTTACGCTAACTGCTGGTCCCCTATTCCAGATATTTTTAAGTCTGGTCATTAGTAAAATAATACCTTACTTCTCCATCCTATATATAGCAGGTTTACTATTAGATATTTAATAATATCCTTATATAGTCAAGAATTTTGTTAAGTATTTCTAGAGACTTGGATACTAGTGATATCATCATCCTCAAATATAGATCTAACTTTTGGTATTTGGTTGATTTATATGTTTTCTTAATAGGAATAAAAGGGGGAGCTGGAATCATCAGATGGCTTAATGACTACATCGCTGGACTCCCATGTAGTCAACCGTGGTTTGAGTCCCAGACCTGGTGGCTTAAAACTCATGCTGGGTGCGTGCGCGTGCATGTGTGTGTGTGTGTGTGTGTGTGTGTGTGTGTGTGCCCATAATCCCAAAAGAAGAATGGAGGCGAAGGGATTGTGGCATGACCATCCCCCCTTGGGGGTGATTTCTTGCTTTCTGTCTCTCTGTCTCTCTCTCTATCTCTGGCGTGTGCACATGCCCTATAGCAAAAATCTGTCGTTAAAAAAGGAGGGGGCTAAATATATATATAAATTTTAAAACTTGGCTTTAATAGCTTTTCATTAGTTCAAACAATTACTTTCATATGAAATAAAAAATATAAATAGCATAAATATAGATCCTTCTTTATCACAGTCCTTTTTATTAAACTATGCAGTGAAAATAGTCAACATTTCCTCATTACTGTTGAGTTAGTGTAAACTTCATTTTTAGGATTGCTGGTAAATGAGAGTACAAATGGCTTGATTTTTAGCAGTGACTATTCTGGACTTCACTACCAGCCTTTTAATATTTGGGTTACAATCATTTTTAGAAAATTTTGAGCTATAAAACATATTATTGAACATTCCTTCTAGTTATTTATATTTCTAGTAGTTGGAATATATAATTTTTAAGTGGTCAAATAGTATTGAGTGTTTAAAAATGTAATATAATAATGGATTTTTCTACTTGGTAAGCAGGTACTTACACATTGTTCATAGATTTTTTACAGTTTGCTTTTGGGATTTTAAATATCTATTCATTAATTATGGGAAAAACCTCTCAAAAATCCATTATTATTTCTTTTTTTTTTTTAGAGAGGTTTTTTTTTTGCTATAAGGTGTGTGCACTTGCAGGAAAGACAGAGAGTGAGAAATTACCCTCAAGGAGGGGATGGCCAGGCTGCAATCTGTTCTCCATTCTCCTCTCAGGATTCTGGGCATGCATGCACATGTGCATGAAGTGAGTTTTAAGCTGCCGCTGGGTCCCAGACTTGAACTGCAGTCGACTACGTGGGAGTCCAGTGACGTAACATTTATGCCATCTACTGGTCTCATCTATTCATTATTTTTATTTCAATTATTTTATGTTTATTTAGTGGTCAAGTGAAATAATTTGCATTGCAATAACTAATTCATGTTAAATTTTATAATATACATATATAATATTTAAATAATTGAATTTTTTTTTTTTTGGAGAGATTTTCACTGTAGGGCGTGTGCGCTCGCCAGACAGACAAAGAGAGACATAGAGACAGAAAGCGAGAAATCACCCCCCAGGGGGGATGGTCACGCCGCAATCCCTTCTCCATTCTCCTCTTGGTATCTTGGGCACGCACACACATGCGCCCGGCGTGAGTTTTAAGCCACCGGGTCCGGGACATGAACCGCGGTCGACTACATGGGAGTCCAGCGACATAGCCATCACGCTAACTGCTGGTTCCCAATAATTGAAATTTTAAAATTTGTTCTGTATATCTGACAGTTTTCTTGTCCTGTTGGACCTCCAATTAATTGATATCTAAACTGTTAATAAGAGAGTAGAATAGGGAGTCCTAACAGTGGTTCTCTTTGTAGCTTATTCATAGCACCACTTATCAAAGCTTGTAGCACTTAATCAACCTTGTCTTTAATAATTATAATGATAAACCATCAAATTAATTGTAATAAGTATAAGAACAGACATTTCATTGTGGTAATTACAGTTTAAATAACAGTTTAATAAGTATAATTAATAACAAATGTGTAATTATTTGTTAATAAGTTTTACAAAGGTTCTTTTATTGCACATTCCCAATACCCAGTCCATAATACGTTCTCAAAAAATAATAAAGTAACAAGTGAAATAAATGATTAAATGAAATCACCTCACCGTCAAGCCTTCCAAAACCATATCTGTACTTCTCCCAAGTTTCATTGAAGTTTTGTGACCCATCTATTCGGTGTTGAATTAATGTCCATGAGCTACCTGAATATAATGAAAAAAATTGTGTATTTTAGTAGATTAATGTTGACAATATAGAAAATACGTTTTTGTTTTGTTTTGCTTTTTGAGAGAGAGTGTTTATTTTAGTTGGTGACTTTGTGAGATAGTTTATTAATGTTACAATAATGTATTATTTACTATGGTCCCAGAAAGTTAAGGGAAAATTACTTTCAAATACCACAGCAGAGTACGTATTTGTGTACATGTATGTATAAAAAAAATGACAAAATGGTAACTATTGTTGAATTCAGATAGAAAGATTGTGTTGGTCTCTTTAACGATTCATGTTTTCCTGTTGCTTGAATATTTTCACAAGAAAAATAAAAGTTGTGAGGAACAGTGACTCCAGTGAATTTTGTCTTAGTAAGTTTATGGAGACTAGTCACTTCAGATTATTTTACAGAAGAAATAGAGAATCCTGGATAAATACATAGATAAATACAAGTACTGGGCTTATATTAATACTCATGTAGTATGCATTTCTTAATGTATATGTACAGAACAAAGAATACAGCGTTGCTGACTGTGAGTAACTCGAACGAACTGTTCACCTTCTTAGGTAAACTTTTACCTGCGTTAACGTCACAGTGCACATTGAAAATGTGAGCAGTGCTGGATTTGGTGGCATGCATGCCACTTCTCTGCTCACCTCTATTATAAATGGTGGTAGAATA